TTCTCCAAGATTTAGCTATTTCAGATTAAATCTAACAACAAAAAATTATATTGCACTGAATGAAGAAGTTTACGAAGTCTATTAGAGTTCGACAAAAAAATATACTGGGTCTGCTTTATTACATTCTTAGCAGGTCTAAATTTTTAAATTACAGACCACACTTAACGTGGAAAAAACTGAAGGAGAATCCTTTGTTCATTGTGGATAATCATAGGAATGACTATTACACAGAATCTTTACATAGCTGGTGAGGACGTTAAACTGAAACAAGAAGTTAAAATACCTATCACTGTTAACTGCTCCATGGTTTGCAAACTTCCTTCCAAGAAATCCCGAAAATGTGGCCCTTGCAATTAACTATGGAACCTACCCTTTCTAACCCTTAAAAAAATCTCAGTGACCCATTTAAAACTATAGTAGTTTCCCACCTCTACAGAAATAATCCCCAGTCTGAAAAATCAATATTTTACATGGACTCCATTAGTTTAAAAAAATAATCATTTATATGTTTGACAAGCTTCAAACATCTATTTAAACCTACCAAGCATGTTAGTAATGGTGTGGTTTATCTAAAGGTCAGTACAAAATCTTTAGCTTACCAGGGGAGATTGTTTCAATAAAACTGAGTTACTAAAGACTTTGGCAACAAGAAAGTTTTCTTTAGGTAAAAAGGTTAACTGCACAGCAAATAAGGAAAAGTTAAAAGAAAATATTCATGTCGTACACAATATAAATTTCCTTTTAGCAATTTTCCCAAGGCAAAATGTATTATTCATTCTTAACCTAAGATGTGCAGTTACTACAATAAACATTAGAAAATGTTGTAACTGAACGCAACCTTAAAGGTCATCTGTTTCAAATGGTTTACTTTCCAGAGATTATGTGAATTATCTAACATCTCTCAGTAAAATGGCAAAATCAAACAAGAATTAAGGTCAAGGTCCACCATCATAAAATATTTCAATAAAGATCTGGAGATCACCATTCTTAACAACTAAACACTGTCATACATTAAGAGGCTGACCCCCTTCTGAAGAAAGTAGGACATTAAAATCCACACACTTTTACTTTCTGAGTACAAAACCCAAAGGAATAAAGTACTTTTCAAATAATCAGACCAAAACTATTTCCACACATAAAATTTTATAATAAAATGTGAGACGAAAAAGTGTAATGACAGAACACGTTTAAAAATGGTTCAAGAACAAATTCAAACTTGGTCAATAAAACACTTTCTAAGTACCAATATGCATCAGATTATCTTAATTTATATATATCCAA